ATTAACCTCATGTCACTTTCGCTGAGGGTTTGTAAACTGGGCTAATTCGCTCCCAGGTGCTGGTCACCCTGCATGTCTGCCGCCTTCGCTGTGTTTACTGAAAACGGCTCCTTCAGGTTGTGTTCTGAGAGCTGCTGCCTCTTTTAACATTAGGCACAAATGATACAGATGCTTCCTGTGTGTTGTTGAAACACAGCTTGTCCAGATTTGTAAAACAAACAGTTCAACAGTTGTGCAACTATATGGAAACACAATTAAATCAGAGTTTGTAGCTGATATTGAACTGCAGGTTTGGCACTCTGCATATCGTAAGTTTCTTCTTTTTTTAGAGAGAGAGAGTTCTTGGATTACGTCTCTGTAGACAGCATTATCTCTTGGTCTTCATTTCTGAGCTGTTGTGGTTGGCCTCTGAGTTGCTGGAGCTGTGATTACTCCATCTTACCTTTTTTCTCCCTCTCTGATGCTTCCTGTGTTGCTTTCTTCGCTTTGGTTTAGCCTTGTAGATACTCACTGACCACAGCTTTGTTAGTCACTAGTGATGTTTAAAAGAAGCTATTCTGAATCCTTGATTTGAAAAGCAATCTTAATTTAGAGACAATATTTAATAGAAACAAACTGAGAAGAAAATATGGGTTAATAATTGTCTTCATTGTTATTGCAGTTTTCTTCAGCCATAACATAATTAGTTTTCTGAACTAAAAAATGCTAAAAAAAATCTTGTCTATTTTTTTCCACCTGTTTATAAAATGCATCAAATTGTCAAATCTATGTGTTTGAACTCATAGATTAGCAAACAGCATTTTCTTTGACATTTTGTATTTATAAAGCTGCATTAAAGCTATGCTCATATGGTTTCCAATACAATCTTGTGTAATCCCTTCATTTTGAACTGAATTCAAACATACTGCCTCTATCTAGGAACCTCTACATATTTTCTTAATTTCTTACGGTTTGTGACATTTATTTGACAACTTAGAAAAAAACTTGCAAAGAATGGTTAATAGTTACGGAAACATATGTAAATAATGTGTTTGGTGAGTCATTTATTAGAAATTGCAGCCTATGCAACAGTGCAAATTTTTCAGAACTGTAAATGCTGCAGTGCAGATTACTGTGCAAAGTAAATATTGTAATTTACTAAAGTACAGGAAACATCCAAAAAGGATGTATGTCATTTACAGGCAGCTGGTAAACAGTTGCATGTAAATTCCAGTCAGCCATAAGGAAATATTTTTGTTGTCTCTCTTGACAGGAAGTTAAGTTTTGCATTTTTCATAAGCTCTAGCCCTAGTTGTCGATACGGTATAACTCCGTCACTGAACTTTCAAGATACAATTCATGTTTTCATTAGAGCATGGCAGTGAGACTGAGTGGGTGAATGGAAGATTACAATAGGTGTTTTCCATGCAGAATGCATCTGCATTTAGTCACTCCAGCATACTGGAGATCCTTTAAAAATAGCCTTAAAAATACCCCAAATCATATCTTTTCATCATTTTTCTTTATTGTATTCTTTGACTCCACTGTGAGTGTGAGCCTTGTGTTGACTCTGAGTTTCTGAAGTTAGATTCTCTGAAGTTATTACTGGTAATGGTGTCCTTTATCTGTGGTGAAAACCTGTCATCATTATTATCAATCTGCCTCATCACCTGGATCCACACATCAGCAGATCATGAGATCTGTGAGAACTGGACAACACAGGAATGACGCACCTTTAATGGTTCTGCACAGCTGATGCAACGTCTGAATGTTGCTCCATACATGCGAAAGAAATTGCACAACAGAAATTTGTAGCTGATTTTGCTGATTGAAACACCGAGCATGCAACACAAATCTTCCGCAACCGAACAAAACAGCACCAAACGTAGCAACTACCTGTTGTTAAGGTGTGGACTTTAACAACATTTTTTATTTTCCACCGATGTAAACAGTTTCGGTTTGAGTTGATTTAAATTGCCAATGTCAGAAAAGAAGGAGCTGTATATTTGACTTTTAGCCATTCACAACTCCAATAACTTATTTGAATTCCATCAATGGTTAAAATGCAGGTTTCGCAAAGAAACTAGTACAAATAATTACACAAAGTAACCTAATTTTCCAGAAATCAGGATGAATCCATCATTCTGATGTGATGGATGGTATAATAGATATGCACCTCCAACAAGGGTGTGTAAATATCCCACAAAGTTAAAACACTATGCTGATCAAATTTTTGTCTTTTGTGAAATGGTGTCCAGTTGCAGTCAACATGTCACTTTGTGTAGTGAATGAAGTAAGTCTTGGGAAATTTCAGGCCCAGACATTAAGTTGTGTCTCTTTTTTGTAGTAAAGCGGGAAGTCGTTTCTGCAGTTGCCCTGTTGCATTGGCAGTCAGCTGATAAAGACTTCTCATCGAGCTGGCCTTGGCTCAGACTTTGTTGCTATATTTATCGAGCTTTCCGACTCGTCTAGCAACAGGTTTTTTTTTTGTTTTTTTGTTTTGCTTTTGTCTAAAAGCACGTTTATCCACTTTTTCTATGGCTACCATCAGTCAGATGTGAAAACATGATGCTGTTCTGAGCAATTCGCCCCACCCCAAGCACTCACAGGTGTAACAGTCTTTCCACTGGAGTCCCTTCCAGCTGTAGTGAGAGCAGCAGATGTTCATCGCTTTAGCAACTGTACTGCAAATGAACTCTATATCTGCAAAGCTGTCACTGATTGGATTGTTGTTATGGTGGACAATATGTACCATAACAATGACCATCATGCACAGATTGGCACTCAGCCTATGGGCAAACAAGGTTTTATTTGTTTGTTATTGATGTTTAATATCCATTAGCTGTCTAAGTGAACACTTGACTGGCATATGTAGATGGACAGTATGAAGTGGTTATAAAGGAATGACTGAAAAGTTCATGTCTTTGTCAGTCGAGCTTTTTTTTTTGGAAGGCTGTGAAGTCTACAGAAGTGTCCTCCAAACTTTCCTAACTAAAAAAAACCAACCCCTCTAATGTCCAGCTCTGAGACGGGTCCGAACAAGCACAGCGATACGCATCAGCAAAGCACCAGCATGTCTGTCCTGGCCACACCCTTTCTTCTCTCCCTGCCGTCCCGTTGGGTGGTGTCAAGTTTCCCTTCACTACTAAAAACCTGCCCGGTACCAAAGATGTCATTGGCTACCTCAGCAAGTTGGCTGCCCCTCAGTTTGCCACCTCATTGGTCACTGGGGACAGCAGGACGTGCATGATAGGCTCAGGATGCTTTGCATTGGCTTCGGCGTATCGATCCCTGGCAGAGGGCTTGGCACGGTGGAAGGTGGTTCTCCATGGAGCAGACATTGATCAGGAAACACTGACAGCAAGACAAGACTTTGAGTTTGTGAAATTAAAGATTACTCTCAACTTGCACTCCTAACTTCAGCTTTGGCTATCATGTTTGTGTAAAACTCCTCTACATATGCACTTTTACTGATAAAACTAATTTCTAACTGTAGTAAAGGAAGTTGCTAGTGCATGCGGTAAGACAGCGTACAGAGGGTTTAAACCTGGCATAGAATTTGTGTTTTTCATGCTTCAAACATGAAACAGCAGCACTTTAAGCTGCTGTTTTACTTGTTGGAGTGAAATAATCTGATTGCATCAGTCCTCTAGCTGTTTGCTCCTTCTATCCCTGTTGTATGGATTATGCCTATGAAGCAGATTAAATGTTGCAGATTGAAAGACCAAGAGGGGACAGAACATAAACTGTAACTATTCTAAATCTGTATTCTGCGTCTGGCTTTGTGATTTCTTTTTGTACCTTTTACTTTTTGATCCTTAACACACAAAAAAGATTCTTATATAATGCAGCTGACTTATTCTGAAACATGTCTCAGTTTATTGTCTTCCAGCCGTTGGTGTCACTGTCTTTCTTTCTGTCATTTCTGGAGCCATATTATGTATGACAAAACACAAATATTTGGAGGAAAATTATATCCCCAGGTTTGCCCCCCGCATTCAGTGTTTGTCTTTTTCAGAAAAGGTTTCATCTGGGAATGTTTCTAAAACACAGCTTAAGGTTGTCATTGCCATAGCTCTCCCCAATTTAGTAAATTAGTAGTTGTGTGTTGGCTTGCCCTCGTGTTCCCTGTCCTTATTGGTTTTTAAAATATTTTCGTATTTTCCCAATGTTTCTTATACATCCATTGAGTTTTGAAAACTATACATTACTTCAGTTTTTTTGTATCTTCAAGTAATTCTAATCAATGTTTACTTCCTGTTATTTTTAATTGACATAAACATTGTCAAAGATAACATATTGTAGGAGATTCTCTTGGTTTGATCTATTGCTTTGTCTTTTACTGTTTGTTTGTTTTTTGTTTCTTCAAATGTATTTCAAATTTTTCTTCACATCTGATCACATTATGAATGTGATTTGACTTCTGACTTATTTATATTTTGCCTCATAGATCCTTTACTCTAAGGATAGAATCATATCAGTTGTGCTGAGATACATTAATTATTATATTTTAAGCTTCAAGAGTTAATTTTACCAGCCTCAACATATGTTCTTTTTGCTTTGAATGCTGCAACCCTTAAAAGGCATCATATTTTATGTGAAATAAGAGCATCTAACTTGGATCCATGTAAATCCTCTGAGCTGTCAAGCAGCCTAAAGAGGAATCACTTTGCATTTACAATCATGTCACACGTTATAAGTGTCAAATTACGAAGACTGAGCCTGCATGAATGTCATCAAATTTCTACTGCAACACTAAAGCTGCGGAATATTTTTGTTCCTTATGATTTCTGTCAAAATCACGCACATATTTTATGTTTTGGTGTTAAGCTAATGCTCTTATCTTCAGTGTACAAATATGACACAGATATAAATCCCAAGTGGGCCAACGCTCCAATCGACCACTCCACTGCAAAGTCTAACACTAAGTGCTGCTGCCAAAGCTGCTTTTTCAGTTTGTTTGTCGGATTTGGTTCAGATGTCAGGTGTTTAATCTGCCAATGTTTCTGTTGTTTGTTTAGTGGATGTGAGCACAGCGGCGCTCCCCTCGCAGGTTCCCTCTGCCGCCTCTGCCATCCTTCCCATGGACCTCCGCGTTGTGGACCACCCTCACCACCACCACCAGCAGCCTCCCTTCGGCCTGGTGTCCCAGCCCCATCCCACGCCAGCCCCCTCCACAGCCTGTCCTGCATCGTCCGAGCTGGGCAACGGGCCGGTCGCTGGTAAGTCCTGGAGGTCTCCTGGCTGATTTCACCTAATGCAACCTTACCTTCGCTCTCAGAGTGATGCGCTATTCAGTGCTTGTACTTCAAGCTCCCACTGGCTTAGGTTATAAGAAAAACAAGTTTAGTTACTATAACTACACTGATAAACTCATCCAAGCACTGAATAGATGCTCAGAACAAATAAATGCTAGGTGTGCCATAGCTTTCTCTAACTGAACAGAAACAAAACTGAAGTTATTATCTTTGGACAAAGAAACAATTTCGAGTCAACGCACAGCTTCAGTTATTACAGCTAGAAAGTAGTGACAGGGCCTGAAACCTTGGGGTAGCCTTCAAAGATGCATAAAGACAATTACAAAGTCAGCCTTCTATCACTAGAAGAACATTTCTAATGTTCCAGCAAGATCCAGAGGAACTCATCCATGCATTTATCTTTATTTGCATTGATTACTGCAACCTTGTCTTCACAGATCTGCCTAATAATCCTCCAGCTGCAGCTTCTTCTCTATCTTCCTAAAACTAGAAAGATGGAGCACATCAGCCCGGTTCTAAAGTCCCTACACTGGCTCCCTGTAACTCAGAGGATAGACTATAAAATACTTTTGTTAGTTTTTAAATCACTGAACAGCTTAGCACCACAATACATTAAAGCTCTGCTGTTGTTGTATCAACCTTTCAGACCTCTCAGGTCTTCTGGTGCTGGTTCTCCTCTGCATCCCCAGAACCAGAACAAAAGATGGAGAAGCGGCATTCAGCTTTTTATGATGTTTTTTTCTTATGTTTTATACACCCTGAACTGCCTTGTTGCTGAAAGGTGCCATACAAATAACCTCGATGTGACCCGCAGGCCGTCAGGATCAGCACCTGCAGCAGGAACTGGTGGCTCTGAAGCACAAGCAGGAGCTCCAGAGGCAGCTACTGATCGCTGAGTTTCATAGGCAACACGAGCAACTGTCGCGACAACATGAAGTCCAACTCCAGGAACATATTAAGGTAAGAGGATGTGTGTGAGCCGCCGGCAGAGAGTGAGGTGGGATCTGTTCCTCCATTGTAGTCAGCACCTTGTGAAGGGCAAAATAAAACAAATGTATGTGTACGATTTAGAGGGTACACTGGAGTAATTTGATCTGTTGGCAGCAGAAGAACGCTGGCCCCATAAACTCGCTCTGTGCAAATGTTATAAAAGAAAAACTCCCATTGGGTTTACTGCGACCAGACAGCCGTGGAGCCAGAAGATCTGATCGGTTTAGGCTGGAAATAACTACAATGTGTCTTTTGAGTCCCTTGAATTTACTGCTTTCATTACTGCACCCACACTTTGCTTCATCCCAGTTGTTTCAGCTGAAATCTGTACCAGTTATTTGCTTTGAGCATCCCATAACTCCTTTATCTTGTTTTTTTTCCTCCTCCTGTAACCCATTTGCGCCTCTCCCCTCCAGCATCAACAGGACCTGTTGGCCCTCAAGCATCAACAAGAGCTGCTGGAGCATCACAGGAAGATGGAGCAGCAGCGTCATGAGCAACAGCTGGAGAAGCAGCAGCGGGAACAGAAACTCCAGCAGCTGAAAAACAAGGAAAGGGGACAAGAAAGTAAGTGAAGAATTCGATCAAAACATCATTTTTAAACGTAGAAGCATAGGATTTAATGTCCTCTGCCCTCCTGTTAACATCTGTGCTGAAATACTGTGGCCAATGATCACAACAGGTGTCAGACAGCTCGGCTCCTCCAGCCCCTCTGTCCCAACACCTGCAGCCATGGCACAGCAGTCAGAACAGTCTGACCTCACACATTCACCACAGGGAGGATCAGGATCCTCTAACCAAGGCAAGGTTAGAGGAGCACTGAGGCAAACATGTTCTTGGTTTACATGTTTAAAATCAGGATAAGAGTTAAAATTCAGTTCAGATTCAATTTTATGTTACATCTGCCAAACAGTCAGGATGTTAACGATTAACCAATTAATGCTTAATATATATATATATATAAAATACATGAAGACTTAGTCATCTGACTGAAATCATTTATACTTTCAGTGGAAACAGTTGTAGGCGCATGCTTTCCAGTCGGCGCAGGAGTAACTTAAAGAGATAGCGTTTTTATTTTTTCAGTGGGCTTATGAAGAGAAATTGTGAGTAGTCAGTATCATACTTCTGCTCCAGATGGCAGTCAGAGAGATCAATAAAAGAATCGTCCTTCACAAGTCAAGCTCAGAACTCAAGTTAGATTCAAGAACTCAAGAACGTTTCATGTGAAAATTAGCTCTTTCTTATATAAATATACAACTTTTCTTGTAAGTTTTCACTTTTTGTAGGAGTCACAGTTTGCCACAATTTTTCTTAGATTGGGTCACTTGAGTGGCTCAGACTTTTTCATTGCTATCACTCTTTCATCTCCCTTAGTTGCTGCAGATTCCTGGAAGGAATTGTTTGAATGATGGAAATTTACTTTTTTTTATAGACATGCGACTAGTTTGAATCTGGGGAAAATTCTCCCTCATGATCCAAACTTTGACTTCTGCTAAGATACTGACTGCTCCTACCTTCACCACACAACCCCTCTTTAAAAAAAAAAGAAGATAAACGGTGACCTTAACAAACTTTTTCCGTCTTACTTTGTGAAAGAAAGTGGGACCAAAAAAGAATTTCAAAAATGTGATGAAATCCACAACAAAGTCTATGTGCTACTTTTCTTTCCCGTGTCAAATTGTGTGAAATCCATTGCTTAATAAGTCTCAGAATTCCTCAGCCGACTTTGTCAATCTATAAAATGAAAGTAATAGTTTTTGTATGAGTCATGCTGATCTGACTGCAGAGTTCCCTCACTGTACTTGGACTTACAGGTTAAATGTGATCTGGAATAGACATGTAATGGTGCTGTTGCTTTTATTTCCAGTCGGAAAGACGTGTCATTCAATATTTTGATTACACTGTAGTTAATAGATTTTGCCAGTAAAGTCTCGATTCTGCTCTAGGCAGAGAGAACGTGCTGTTTGACGTCTATGGAAAGAGCTTTGGGTTGTAAACAGGAGAAGCTTTGTTAAGTACTGCACTGAATTGCATGGAAGGCAGCCTCATAAAAGCCAATTTGCTTCAGTGGGGAGGCGTTCGTATTGGGATGTCAGCACTTACAGCTGCAGCGTGATTTAGAGAACATATATTAGCCCTTGTCACTTTCACATGCTGAATTTACCACTTCCTCTCTCAAGCCTGACACATCACCTCTCGTCACTCCCACTGTCATTTTCCCATAAAAGCAGCCCTTTTTCCAGCTTTTCCTGCTCTCGCTGAGATTTCCTCTGCCTGTTTCTCAGCTTTTCCTCCCCGTCTCTCACTTCCTGGATAATTTGTTTGTAAAGCTGTGAAATAAGAGTGGAAACTGAGGAGAGCACAAGATGGAAACGCAGCCCCTGATTTGTGTGTAGTATGAATGGGAGCTGCTAAAACCTTCATGTTTGTGTCAAACACTGAGGCGGAGGTAAGATTCAGGGGCAGTAAATCCTCCTGCTGCCGACATTGATTCATTTTTGCTGAAATCCTGGTGGTTTTGGACTCATATTTTGGGTACTTAACCCAGACGGTCACTTACTCCGTCAGGGCTCATGTGCTTTTCTTTCGGTGATTATCTCTGTCCAGGTGCTGTGGCCAGCACGGAGGTAAAGATGAGGCTTCAGGAGTTTGTCCTGAACAAGAAGAAAGCTCTGGCTCAGCGAAACCTAAACCACTGTCTGCCCAGTGACCCTCGCTACTGGTATGGGTAAGTGTGACTGGTCGCCTCATTACAAGGGATTTTTTCAGATTTGTTTTGATCACTTGTTTTGTCTGAACAATGTATGGCAAAGCAAAAATAGCTTAATAGCACAAACATTTAGAACCAAAATGATCCATAACTTTTATTTGAAATAATAAAGCATCAATTATTAAATCTAGATTACTTCAGATATAGTAGCAGCTACAGTATTTATACTTTATGCAGAAGTGACTAAACTAGAAACATATAATAAACATTTTTGCAGTTCTGCTCTTAATAAAGTTTCTCAATCATAACAAGCTGATATCAGCAGGTTAGTTAGTCAGGCCATCTGCTCCAGTTAGCAGTCAGCAACTTAACAAACAGACTCCTCATTATTTGTGACTTTGTTTCCCTAATATGAGTGATTGGTGACAATATCTTCAGTTTTTACTCTATTACTGGTTTTTCGAGACCAAAAAGGTTTGTAACCTTCTCCAACAAGCCAAACTATGTTGCAGCAACAGGTTGGGATGGGGGCAGATTGAAATTTCTGTGGTTCTGGAATTGTAAATTTGATTTGCCGTACCTGCTGTAGACAGAAAGGCTTTTCAAATAAAGTCAACTTTTAACTGAATCTTTTTAAACTTGTTATATAATGGTGGTGTAAGTCTTTACGGTTTTGTATGAGGTGGTTACTTAGATTGTTGCTGTTTTTACATGAATGTTTGCATCCAAACAGCAGAAGGAACAGATTGTCATTGTGCAGACTAGCCAACGTGATAGCAGTTGTTGCCAGATTTTTGATGATGCAAAAAGGACATTTGTTTAAGGGTGTCATGAAATTTGTTTAACTTTTTTCTTTCTGGACTCTGTTTTGGATTTGGATTATTATCTTTTCCAAAATAAATAAGTTATTTTATCTGAAAATCAGATAATCATACGGTTAATATAAGAACTTTCATGAGTTGGATATAAAAGGAATCAAAGTTTATTTGGACTAATCTATTTAGTGTTTTGTAAGTATTTGACATTATTTGACGTATTTTTGTAAAAAAAATGAACATCAGAATCCCTATTATAATTGCAATATAATGCAGATTGAGATGCATGACAGGATCCACTTTATACCTGCAGTTCTGCTTTTAGACAGCAGGTGTTTCTGCAGAGGAAATCTGACTATGCAAGATACATTAACAGAGGAAGTCAAGAGGAAGTGCTTTATTTGCTTTGCAACCTTAGCTACACAGATTCACCTGTTACGTGGCATTTTTGTTGTTTTTACTTTATGTAACCTTGGCAGCTCTTGGTGATAAATATACTTTTGGTCTATATTTTGCTGTCCAAATCCATCCATCCATCAAACTTTGGCTGTCCACTTGGTAACAACAGGGAGCATCCTGATCAGGCACTCAAACTGCCTCAGTTCACTCCTGAACGTTGGAGTTTTACTCTGTTCCTGGATGACAGAGCTACTCTCCATATTGCTAAGTTTGAACCTAGCAACTTTGGAGTAAATCTAATCTCAGCTTCTGATTGATGACTTTAAGAACCAAGCAGAACCATGTCATGTGCAAAAAACAAATGAGTCCCAAACCACGACCACACCATGAGGTCCTGTCTGTCACTGCAGACCGGATCGGGACGCTGAGGCAGTCTTGGCAGAATCCATGAGTTTATGTCAGGCGTTGGATAAACAGCCCTTTATAGCAAGCCAAGTACCCCAAATCCTGGAGCAGCCGCTGCAGTATATCCTGAGGCACCGAGGTGTTTTCCAGCTTTTCCTGCCTTTTCAAGGTTCGACAATCGACCAGAGCTGCTTTTCCAAAAGCCTAACAGTATCTTTACCTGAAAAAATGAGCTTGCTCTGGAAATCCAGCCAGCTGGCGAGCAACATGGTGTCTGGTTACAGAGAGCAACTTCTATGACGGAACATTATAAAGCAGATCAGCACAAAGTAGGGGACGAAAAATGCTATATTGCTTCAATATATCTATTTGTTTAGTTAAAATTATCCTCTAATCCACGAGTCAGTACTTTGTAGAATCGCCTTTTGCTGCAACTACTGAGGCAAGTCTTTTGGGATTTATCTATATCAAATGCTTGGCTAAAAACACTGAAAGTTTTGCCCATTTTTCTCTGTAAAGTAACTCAAAGCTCAGTCAGATTGGATGGAGAGTGTCTAGGAACATGAGTTTTCAACCTTTACCAAAGTTTCGAAGATGAATTTAGTACCGTAGAAAGGTACTGCCACCACCGTGTTTCACAGTGGATCACATTGATCACTCAAATTCCACCTTTCTGTTTGTTTTCTACAGAAGTAAAAGAGCACTGTTTCTTTTATAGCACAGAGGTTAACATAAAATACAGTATGTATGAAGCAGGTGATGGAAACTCTTTGTTGCCATGGTGCATTGTGGAGCAAAACAAGCAAAATTTGTCAAAATTTTACTTTTTGCATCAATAAAATACTAACAAAGGTAAAATCTACTGGTTTATTCTCATGTGTGATCCACCCATACAGGTTTGTGGTTCAGCTGTTAAAACTAGAGCATAAAGAATAATTTTATAGCAAAACACATTTCTCTGAAACTTCAAAGCCTTAAAAAATCTGTCATATCACGCACCTTCCTTTCATCAAAGAATTCAGTCCGAGTCATCATGTGTCTCATTTGAGTGTCAAAAAAAAAGTCCCTCATTGGGGAGAAATATCAAACGTAAAATCTGTTGATGGCATAGAGGCAGAGATAAAAGTCTCTCATCTTCATGGCTTTTGGAACACAGTAAGCAGTGTGGTGTTCCAAACCCCCGTAGTGTAGGCGCCTGTCAGCGCCGTGCTTTTGTGTGTACATCAAATTGCCAGCATCATCGTTAGTCTCCGAGTTTAAATGACAGAGAAAATGTCTAGGCTTTTTCTGTGTGCCGGTTGGCGGTGATTGACAGCCGGCTCTGTCTGAGGTGAATGTTTGAAGTGGGCAGTTAGAAAAAAAAAAAAAAAAAACAGTGGTGTCTCTTTTGCACTTTAAAGACGCTTTAATAAGTCAAAGATTTTGCCCATGCAGGAGATTTGAGTGGTTTTGCATCATTAGTTTAATAGAGTTCTCTGTGTTTTTCACCCTGATGTGACTCTCCTCATTTTCTGGTATGTCCTCTCTTCATCTCCCGTCCTCCACCTGTCTCATACAGCCGAGTCAGGAAACCGAAGCTTCACTTAAGGTGAATTAGTCCCTCTTTCTTTCTTCATTGTCTCTTTTTCTTTTCCACCTCCCTTAGCTGCTCACAGTCTCCTGTGTCTTTAAAAATCCTGACCTTGAAAAAGAAGATAGAAGCTGTCTTTTTCACTTCCTTAAGTGTGTAGGCGTGTGTGCATGAACTAGGTGCAATGGTTATTGTAGTTCTAAAAAAAAGTAGCAATATTGCGTAATATGCTGTGGGTTATAAGACTTTTTTATTTGTATTTGTTGCAGGAAAACTCAGCATAGCTCTTTGGACCAGAGCTCACCCCCTCAAGCGGCGTTGTCGGCGTACACGCATCCAGTGCTGGGAGCGTTCGACTCAAAGGACGACTTTCCTCTGAGGAAAACAGGTAAAGAAACAAGACATTTTTTACTCATACAAGAAGAAAATTGGCTTTCAAGGACCAAAAGTCTGAATTTAGAAGAGGAGGATTAATGAGGACGGCTGAAATGTTCTTAACTGGAGATATGAAAAATGTATTTAATGGCCTCTTTTGAACCATTTTAATGTAAATGAAGGCTGAGGGAAGATAACAGTGCCCCTCTGGATCGGATAAGTAGAAACTCTGACACCACTGAAAGTGTTTTAGAAGAACTGATGCAAAAAATAAAAAAAATAAATGGTTTCGTCCACCACCCACAAACCTTATTAGCAAGAGATATTTTTGATGATACAAGACATGTTTCTTTGACTTTTCCACTCCTAGTCAGGTTAGAACTTCAAACTGATGTGACAGCCCAATAAGTTAATACATAATTATGTAGTGCAATACAAATTATACATTGTATTCCAATTTTTTATTTATTTATTTATTTTTTCAAATAAATAGCTGAATAAAGTGTGCCATGTATTGATGTCCAACTCCCTTCTGCTGCAGTTAAAGCTTCAAGTCCTCTTGGGTTTCAATCTACCAGCTTTGTGCATCTAGACATGGAGATATTTTTGCCCATTCTTCTTTGCAAAATTTTTCAAGTTCAGTCAGATTGGATGGAGAATGTCTGTGAACATCAGTTACCACAGATTTTGAAATGTATTTAGGTCTGGACTTTGACTGGGCCATCCAACACATTATGTTTTAAACATGGCGCTGTAGCTGTGGCCGTATGTTTAGGGACATTGTCCTGCTGGAAAGTGAACCTCCACTCCATCTATACCACACTCTACTTGCCGTTTACTGATTAGGTGTCTGCTGAAGGCAGTTGGATTTTATAGAGGTTTATAGTGTAAGCTTGGAATAAAATGTCAATATTGTTTAAATTTGTGGTTGCAGTGTAAGAAAATTTTAAACATTTCAAGGCGTATGAAAACTTTTATGAGGTAACACTTATTCATGATCACTGTTCTGTTAAACAAAATGGTTCCTGATCGCCCTGGTGCCCTAACAGACGTGAGAAAACGATCATTCTTGCTATTTGGACTCATCGGCTCGGTCCATCTGCTCGCACCAAGGCCGGCCAAGCTGCGATGACTCAGTTAGCGTCAGCAGCTGCTTCGGCTGTACAGCTGTCTGTTTTCACCACTGGAAGCCAAACCCTGCGCACGCCGCGCTGAGGCCCACCTGCTGAGATCTGCAGAGAGAAAACTCAGAGTTTGGACTTTTAGGAATTTTTCCTCTGAGATTTGTTCATAACACACATGGTATCATTCTTCCTGGACGAAGAAGGAGGTCTGATACGTACAAGTGCTCTTGGAAGACGTTTGCTGCTGATCTGTGCGTCAGTCAGTTTACAGCCAGCTGTTGAGGAACTACTGTGTAAATAGTTAGCAGACTGTGATCGTCTAAGGCTGGCCTTCAGAGATATGAATCATGTTGAAGAGGAAGTGAGTGACAGCACTCGACACATCAGTGCTCTCCTCGCGTCATTCATGACGCTTTTTCCCCCAAAGTTGGTCTTTTATCTATGCAAACTCTAAATGCGCATTGAATGCTCTGCGTCTGTGCAGTGAGATGATGCGTACGGTTTATTACAGCAGGGCTTTGTCATAACGGCGCTCGGCGCACAGAGGACCACTTTGAACGCTGTGACAGGAAGTCTGCAAGGCCTTCATTACAGAGGCATGCTTGTCATGCTGACCTTCCCTCTGCTGCTTATACTTTACATTATTACACACAGACATTATCATTCCACACTTATAAAATGAGCACTAAGATCATTGAAGACTTTAATGTTCTTTAATGTTCACCAGTTGATTCAGCAGCAGAATAGCTTCACATTTTTTCATTTATTATTCCACCTCTGCTCTGGTTTTAAGCCTAAACAATCCCAGGTTTGTTAAATCGACCCTATTTATCCTTCTTACTGATACAGTCACAGTCTAGCAGTGCTAAACCTAGAATGTTTTTTATATTCTGTTTAGTGTGATCAAACTTTAAAACTACTTATTCAAGAGTTCAGAGTTAACGAGCTGAACTTATTCAACTCTTGAATAAGTTTAAGTAAGAATAAGTTTAACACAGCTGTCAATTTTCTGATAAGTTTTTGTTCTAACAAATTCATTCAGGTCAGATTGGTTGGGGAAGTTGCAAAAAATCCCAACACAACTCCAGTCTTAGATCATGCAAGTTTCAGTTATCAGGTTAAATGCTACAGCTCATCACAGGATGAACAGAAAATGACTGATTTAGAATTGCGTGCTAGGAAAAGTTAAGTTATATGACAGCAAAGTTTAAGTTTGCAAAATTAAGTCTGGATAAACAGGACTTCTGAAACAGTGTTGCTGATACAGACAAGACCAACATTGAGATGTCTGACCATAATGCAGCATGATATTATGAAGTCTTACCGGTAAATATAGTGGTTATGATATCAGTGGTGATAAATCAACGTTTTCTTCACTCTCCTCTCTCTCATGTACGTTCAGCTGACCATCTGATATTCAGCATCTTGGAAACTGTAATCCACCAGGTGAATATCCTGATAAAAAACTGTCTTTTGCAATGTTAGTATAGATGACACGATAGATCTAGAGAAAATGAAGTACACCATGTCAACACCAACATCTTGAACCGAATGTTAAGCACGGTAGTGGAGTTGTGATCATGTGGGCTTTCTTTGCAGCCACAGAACGAGTGCATCTTGCTGTTATTGAATGGACTCTGAGTTCCATAGAGCAAAATAATCTGAGGCCATGTGTTTGACAGCGGAAGCTCAGTCTAAACTGGGTTTGGAGAAGAACATTGAACCCAACATTTGTAGCAGCAAATCTACAACTGGATGACTAAATAAGTGAAGAATCCGTATGGTGCTGCGGCCCAGTGTTTAGGTGTCTGTATCTTTGTTTATGAGTGTCTGACTGGACCCAAGCTGATTCACACATGTAAAGCTTTACATGAGTGGCTGTGCCTCAGGGGAAAGAACAAGTTGTCTTCTAATAACAGGGTTTGGAGTTCAGTTTACACACCCTCCATATGTTTTTGTGGCTTTGAACAAATACAGTGAAATCCAACTTAGTGGCCAAACTCCAAATTGCTTCTTTCTGTGAATGGGTGGTTGAGAGTCACACTTATTGGACTTTGTTTTGCTGAAAGATTTGACTGGATATATATATATATATATATATATATATAAAAAACATTTGGTATGTGATGCATTCACTGCAATAATTTTTCACATTCAACTTTGTCTCAAAGTGGAACCACATGCAGCTTTTCATGCTGAAAGTTCAAATTAAAGTTTATGTTCTGTTGAGGAGGATTTAAAACCCTGGAATTAGGTCTAAAACAAAGCAAAAAAACAAAGCATTTATTGTGTTTTGGCACTTTATACCAAATTAAACTCTAATTTTGTGCAATGAGGATGTGAAACCATTATTTTTAGCTTTTTGCTCCATAAAAGAAGCAACGTGCTATTTATTACAACAGTGAAGTGCTGAAAAAAAAAATCTTAAAATGCTTGCAAATGCTAGATTTGGGGAAGTCTTAACCCTGCAATCTAAATCTGTTGCCGGCTCTGGGTGTGAACTTCATGGTGTACTGTTGCAAATTCCCCTTAAGGCTGCAGTAACACAAAGAAACACATGGGAAAATAATGAGAACCTTTGATTCAGCGCAAAATCCAGGAAGTATCGTTCTGTCCTGTGGAGCGTAAACAAAAAAACTGCATGTGAACTGTGGCTGTCTTTCATCACTGTCCTGCAGATGTCTCAACGATGCCGAGTGACTAATGTCAGTGGCTCAACGGTGTCACAATAAAGGAACAATAATTTAGTGGTGGACGAAACAGGCCTGAAATTAAATTTTATTGAGACTTCATGTGCAGACCACAGGAGACGGTACCTCAAGCTGTGGATTTGATGTACCGTCTTTTGCAGCTTTAAGTAGATGATGAGTAGAGCTAAATACAAGACAATCCTGGAAGAAAACCTGTTGGAAACGACAAAAGGTTTGAGACTTGACCCTAAAGATAAAGGCAGAGAAAAAAATAGAAGTTTAGAATAAAACAAATTCATATGTCAAAATCTAAATCCACTGGAGAATCTAAGACTTGAAAATCCTCTATCTGGTCTGAATGAGCTTAAGATGTACTTCAAAGAAGAATGGACAACCATGTCTGTGTCTAAATACACAAAGCTGGTAGTGAAATCTCTGTCTGCATCAAAATGTGGTTCCACTACATATTGACCCAACAAATGCATGGCACACTTTTCCCATTTTTAATTGTAAAGTTTTTTTTTTCTTTTCACTTCCCAATTAAGCATCATGTTCATCACATAAAACCCAGATTAATAACATAAGTTCATATTTGAGGTAAATCTAAACAAGTTTAAGAGATAAAATACTTTTGTAAAGTTCTTTAAATAATCAGTTGTTTTCACTGTTGTTTGAATTAATTTAGGACATGATATAATAAGACATTATCTGTATTATTAGAGTCTGATTTTGACCTTACGTCATCTCCAGTAGGGGGGTCGTTAGCTGTAAGCCGTCTCCTCTTGGGACAGATGATTACTTTTTCTTATATTTAATCCTGAAACTCGTGTTTTACAGTAATCTCTTTAACTTTTATGTTTCGAACACAACGTCCAGATAAGACCACGTGCATTTCTTCCAGCTTCTGCGCCCCGGATCCACTTATCTAATGTATCTCGCATGTACAATGTTTCTCGGAAGCTCTGCTGATGAGCTGGAGCAAATGAGCCTATTGATTCCCATACAGTAAATCTCCTTCCTTCCCATTTATTGGCAGAGCGGCACGACTTTCCCCATCACGCCTCCAAGGAGCTCGGGGCTCCCTCCTGTCAAACAGATGAGCAGCTGATCAATATGTTTTCTATCAAAAGCAGTTTCCTCATCAACTCCCTGTTGAAACATTCAGTAGCACTCAGTCATTTAATCTAAACGTCATATCC